CCTGCTTGGAGGTACACCCTATGTCTTTAATGTAGATTTTCCACATGAAGTAGCTGAAATATAGGGCACCTTTGAGTGAGGTACCCTAGGTTATTCTCCATATAGATTAAGAATATTGAGAAATAATGCCCTTATTATTTGATCTTCTCATTTATTTTCAGTACTAAAAAACATCTCTGGTGAGTAATAATGTCTTTTTGTATTTTATATTATGTTTGTGTACTATGACAGGTTGTTTCTGCTATAGTAGCAAGCTGACAATTGCTTTAACATCCTCAGTCCATTCTGGCCCATGCATGTCTGGCACCAAGAGATCTATAGCCAGTAGAGTGAGTCTATTCATATCTGATGATCTAAAAGTAATTTTACTGTTCTTATTCCTGTTTTGTTTATTTTTAGATTGCTTTCTGACTGGAGTTACCCAGAGGTTCATGTAAACCAGCAGCTTCATCCTGTGGGGTTTGATCTTTTTCTTGATGAATTGTACAGGGTCCCCTGTTCCGAGTTTTTCAGCACTATTTTGGTGAGTTGTAGGAGACAAAGTTTCTGTGAGAATTGTTGTGATGGAAGCTGATTGAGAAATTATTTCTCTTTTTTATCCAGGGTCTGTTTCTTTGTTGTAGGGTCCTAATGTTTTGTTGAAGTTTCTCTGAGGGTCAAATATTTGCCTTGGAGGAATAAAAACTGGTTCCTGGTAGAAAAATTCACCTCTGGCATCTTTGAAGAGAGGTTCTGCAACATAGGTCTCCATGGAATTTAATTGTGAATGGGGAATATAATCAATTACTAGAAATAAGTTGGGTGCAATATTTGAAATTGGTTCTTCTGGGGTTCCAATTTCTTCAGGTGCAAACCTTGTTGAGTTTATTGTGGGGGACTGAATTGAATGTACTGTATCCAGGGCTGATACATCCTCTGGTTTGATATTCTGACCAAATTTTTCCTCATTTTTCTCTTCCACCAGGGTTGTCAGGGAGTTTTGCAATTCAGGAATAGGATTAACTGGTGTCTTTTCAACTTGGTATACTGGAAAAGTTTCCTCTGGGGAAATGGGTTCTGCAAAAATTGCACTTTCTGATCCAAGGTATTCTGCTTCAGTATTGCTCCAGGGTTCCAGAGTTTCCAGTGGTTGGCCATTAACAATGAGCTGAGGGGAAGATTCCAAGTTGACTGGTCCTACTGGTAAGTTATCTATATTTTCTGCACATTTTTCACTTTCTGATCCAATGTATACTGATTGATTTCTATCCAAGGGGTCCAACTTCTTGCAAATTTCAAGGATCTGGGGGGAGGGGGGAATTCCAAGGTTACAGATGCTACTGGGGAGCAATTTTCTTCAAGAATGGCACATGGTAAGGATATTTCTGAGTGAATGTTTTCTGAAATGACTTCTGTTTCTGATCGAAATTTTTTTGTCTCTGTGTTGTCCAAGGGTTCCAAGGTTTCCAGGGATTGGTCATTTTCTAGTATCAGGGGGCAGGCATCCAAGGTTGAAGAAAGTACTGGGGGAAGATTTTGTGTAAGTGGTGACTGGATTCCTGAGTTATTTTCTTCCATGTGGGATACTGTATGGAAATTCTGATCTGTTTTTCCAATTTCTGGTGCAGACTGATCAGGTTCTTCTTGAAGAAAATCCATTTGTTCAAACTCCATATAAATATTTTACAGAATTGCATCATAGGGTGGTAGTTCTGCAATGTGAAAATTTCCATCCAAAACCAGGTGACCATCCCAGATAAGTAGATCTGATATTAACCTTTCCAACTTTAGGCTGAGGGATCTCCAAAGGTAGTTTGAAAATTCATCCATGTGGGAATTGTGCCCATTTCTGATGAGATAGTGGGTGATTGCTTCAAATTGGATTCTGAATAGTCTGAGTTGTTCTGGATTTTTAATTCCTCCCATGCCTATAGTGGAGCTGACCAAACATTGCAAATCCTTTCTAGCATATTCCTCCTTGGTGAAAGGTGTTGGATTATGAATATGCTTATATTCATTACACAATATGCTTCAATCAAAACTCAAGCAATCATGTATATAATCTATACTAGATGGCTACAGTAGTTTTCCCTCAGTGAATCAAAACCTTCCTTCTTCTCACTCACAAAGTGTCACTGGCCTGTCAGCCGTGAACTTTGGTTTTTCATCTTGAGTCCCTCTCAACAGGTTATGAGACCCATCCGCTCACCCTGCTCACGACAAAACTTTTTTTGAATACGCTCGGACTCAACTTTTCGACCTCGTCTAGTTCTACCCACCACATCGACCTTGTCTAGTTCTACTACCAGAATGCCAGCGCGGACCACACAAAACCCCTCGTCTCTTATCGGAAATGTGCCGGTCCTAGACGGCAACTCGGTTGGCTTCCCGGCATGGCGCACAAGACTGGAAGAACTGTTTGCTATCCAGGGGGTGCACGATATCGTGACCGGCAAGCTCCTCCGTCCCGAAGCCGACTACAAGGACAAAGAGTCAAAACCGGTGACGCAAGGATCACACCGATTATACTACGCCGAGGAATCTGGCTCCGACTGGGATGCGTTATCGGAAATAGCTAGAGCGACGCTGAAGATGACTCTTTTGGTCGATCTAGCGATACGATACAAGGACACTAAACCGGTTAGTGTTCTTTTCAGGACCATATGCGATGCATATGAGAAGAACACCCGAGCACGCCGAATGATGCTTCAAGATGCATTCTGGACAGCTCGTCACGACCCAAGCAAACCAATTGCCACCTGGATCGCTCGTATCAGAAACTCAGCATCAGACCTTAAATCGGTTAAGTTGACCCCCGCGGACCAACAAATTTGTGATAGACTCCTTCGCGGCCTAGATGAATCGTGGAAACCAATTCGTGATCATCTCGTCTACTCGCCGAACGAGATATCACTTGACGACGCGATTGGAGCGCTTGAGGCGCACGAAGTATCGATGCAGGTCCCCTTCGATCAATCACAAGAGACGTTTGAAGCACCGGCAGTCGCGAAAAAGAAGAAACCGGGGTGCTGGAGCTGCGGCGAATTTGGACATCACTCCTCATCTTGTCCCAACCTCTCAGCGAAGAACAAACCGAAGGCGAAGTTTGGGACTCGAGCCGGCGCGGCGTCAGCGGTAGCTCTAGGAGGAGGCGGCCCTAGCGATGAAGAAGAAGAAGATGATTTTGATCCGGAAATCGACGTTGTCTGGGGATGAACCCCAAAGGAGATAAATTGACATTCGTAGGATAGGCAACTCCGGCAAATCCTGAAGGCTAATTCCTCCCCGGTGGTAGTTGGTATATCTGTTATCATGACACGTCCCTGTCTCCAACCACCGATGGATCTCTGGCTTGATTAAACAATTATTTTTTTTCCATCTCACTTTACTCTATTTAATTTCTGTCCCCATATGAAACCACCTTTACTTTAACTCCAAGTCAGTTTAGGGGTCTAAATTAGATTAAGTTTTTTGTTTCAGCAAGGGGGTGTGTTGGATTATGAATATGCTTATATTCATTACACGATATGCTTCAATCAAAACTCAAGCAATCATGTATATAATCTATACTAGATGGCTACAGTAGTTTTCCCTCAGTGAATCAAAACCTTCCTTCTTCTCACTCACAAAGTGTCACTGGCCTGTCAGCCGTGAACTTTGGTTTTTCATCTTGAGTCCCTCTCAACAAAAGGCATTCCATCTTTGGGTCTGTAGATAATGCTCAATTTTTCTGCTCTTTCCAGAAAGTGGATGGGTTGATTTCTTGAGGTTCCAGAGGGTGAGTTGGCTGAGTCGGAGTATTCTTTTCTGGCCCTGGTGGTCCTGTATCCTGAATTTCTGTCCTGTGGTGGTAAGGGGGTTCTTGAATTTCCAAAGGTTCCAGGTTGTTACTTTCTGAAGGTTGGGGATGTCTCATTGGTCCAGGGTTAAAGGCTGGAGTATGGGCAGGAGGAGGTTGGTAGAATGTGGTTCCAGGGTTATAGTACTGGTGAGGGGGTAGTTGAGTAGGTAAGACTTGTCCTCTCCAAGCTGGGATGACCAAATTGGCAATGTTGATCCTAGGGGTAGGTCCAGACAGGGAGTTTCTTCTTGGTAGAAAATTCATGGTGGTGGAGAAGTTGTTGAGATTTCTACTGTTATAATATTGTTGCTGTTGATCCAATGATGTTTTGTTGATGCAGATTTACCAATGAAGATTTCTGCAGGGAATGATAAGGTATATAAATTCTGAATTCTAATATGGTTGGTAGTAACTAGCTAATCTGTGACTGTATATTTAGCATAGAAACTGTAAGTGGTAGTGACTGAAACCAAAAGATCTGTTGGGCCACTGTTGGGACATCACTTGTGGAACTACTCTTGGGAGGAATAGATCTTGAGAGGGATGAGTGCTTTATTGGGCTGCCTCTCTCATAACAAGAAAATATAAGAGTATGGACTCTTAAGGAAAAAGGTGTGGCTATGGAGATTTCTTGAGGATGGTACGTCTAATATTTCTTATGGTTACTAGTCTAAATAAACTTGTCCCAAATCAAGGTATCCCAAATGTTGATGGGCAAATACCTGGCTAATAGTGGGTGATCAGTTATCTGAATTGCTGGGGCAGGATCTGATGAGGAACAAATGAAGAGGAAAAACAAAGCTCCTTATATACAAAATTCTGGGGAGTGGCCAGCTTGTGGTTGGAAGATAAATGGAAAATTCTATGAAGGGTATGAAACAAGGGAAAATATTCATCCAGAGAAAACAGGCAAAACAAGAAGTGGGAAAATGCTCCCAATTTTACTAGTATGAAACAACCAAGGGGTGGAATATTCCATGGAAGAAAATAGGAGGAAATAACTGTTTCATGGCCAAGGGGATCTTTACTGGTGTGGAACACAAGGGGTAAGAAGAATAGAATATGTTTGGAGGGGAATGAGTTTCAGGGCTGTGGAGTTTCTGCTAGGAAATATTCTTATCCATGTGGTCTGTGCTTGAGGGGATTCATGATTGGTTTGAGAGTCTGGGGAGCTTTCTGGTGTGTCTTGATCCTGTGATTCCTCTGTGATTTGTACTCTTGCTGTGCTTGGATTTTCAGGAGTGGCTTACCACACCAGTAGTAATTTGTTTCTACAATGCGGTTAATGATGCTACTACATGCATTGGGAATTCATAAGACTTATGGTCAATAGGACAACATGAACTACAAGCCTCGGCAATGATTAAGACAACATCAGGCATGAAAATAGGAATTGAGACGGGTCCTAGGGGGCCCCTGGTTGATTTTGGTGGGAACCCATTGTCAGGTTGGCATATCGGCGCAGGATGAGGCCGGGATCTAGGCCGTGTTAAGAGCGGGTAATTTGCTTGATCTTATTTTGGCTGCAGGTGTGAAAATTTCAGCGGATGATGACAGTCCGGGATGTCCGACTGGAGTGAGTTTGAGGATAGGCCTATCTGTATGACCTGATACATACCATACAGGCCAATAGCGACCCAACTTGTGTATTGTTTGCCAAATTGAAGTTTTTGAGATATCACACCACCTCCAGAGGTGGTTTGAAAGTTTTTGAGTCAGTTTTTGAAAGGAAAAAAATCAAATACTTTTCAAAAACTTCAATATATTTGAAAAGCATTACATCAGGGACTTTTTCTTTTCCTTTTTCCTTTTTTCTTTTTCCTTTTTTCTTTTTCCTTTTTCCTTTTTCCTTTTTTCTTTTTCTTTTTCTTTTTCTTTTTCTTTTTCTTTTTCTTTTTCTTTTTCTTTTTTCTTTTTTCTTTTTTCTTTTTTCTTTTTTCTTTTTTCTTTTTTCTTTTTTCTTTTTTCTTTTTTCTTTTTTCTTTTTTCTTTTTTCTTTTTTCTTTTGGGCATTAATAAAAAAACACGGTTTTTCCGCTTTTACACGCGGTTTTGCTGCGGCACAGCGCATGCGGTTTCTGCGTTTACACACGGTTTTTTATTTAATTTTTTACCGCTTATTTTTCAAGTTTTTTCCTACACTTTAAAAGGTGTAGAATTTGATGGTAAAAACCATTTTGCATAAGGGCCTTAATAAAAAAACACAGTTTTTCTGCGTTTACACGCGGTTTTGCTGCGGCACAGCACACGCGGTTTCTGCGTTTAAACACGGTTTTGTAATTAATTTTTTACCGCTTATTTTAATTTGAGTTTTTTCAAAATTTTAAAATTTCTTCCTACACTATGAAAGGTGTAGAATTTAATGGTAAGGTCCATTTTCCATAAAAATGACTTTGATTTTTTTTTCTGCTCACTCATATTTACAATTAAATGTTACTGGCTTGTTTTTCACTATTTATTGACATTGTGAAATTGTTTCCTACACTTTGAAAGGTGTAGAATTCAATGGTAAGATTTATTTTGCATAAAAATGATTTTCATGCATTTTAATTTTTGTTCCCACTCATTTTTTCAATTAATTGTTAGCGGCCTGTTTTTCATTATTTTTTGACATTGTAAATTTGTTTCCTACACTTTGAAAGGTGTAGAATTTAATGGTAAAATTGATTTTTCATAAAAATGATTCCTTTGCCTTTTAATTTTTGCTCCCACTCATTTTATTGATGCAAGCACAGTGGGAAGTTCCTGGTGGTTATTCAACCTTCCGAACTTGAATTTATCAATGGGAAAAGGTAAAAAATGGTATAATATTCTAAAGAGGCCAAATTTGGATTTACAAAAGAGTGTGGGCATAAACGAGTGTAGTTTAGATTTTAAAATGAGAAGAGGGACAATAGCAGGTAATCAGAGGAAGGTACGGAGAACAGTAATGAAAAAAATTAATCAACTTCAACAGGAGCCTTTTTGA